AAGTTTTCAAAAGCAAAATCTCCTAATGAATGTAAGAGAGCTACTCCAACATGCAGCCATCTTGAGCGGCGCAATTCTGGAATACATAGGACACTAAAAAATACAACAAATGGTAGTGATCTGAATAAATCTATAAAAGGATTAAAACTGGGGAGTAACAAGAAGGAAGAAACTGATGTTCAGTAAAGCAATCATTGATGTGACGGCAGATGTTAATTAAATATGTGTGTGGGGGGGGGGGGGGTCATTCTGGAAGCTACAGAATGTTCAATATAGAAAGAAGGAAGATGCAATGAAATTAAGATAGTAACACGGTGAATAAGAATAAAATAGCTGAATCAATTGCATTACTGTATAAAGTAAAAAAAGAAACTGTCCAGATGATCTGACTGAAAATTGTTGGATTGCATACCTGGATTATTGAGCATGGACTTTTTTTGGTTTTGAACCAGTTTGACATGCCTGCCAACGAGGAAGAGGGCCGGCACAAGAGGAGGGGGCGTGCCAAAGACACCATCTTAGCACCAACATAACTGGTTTGTTCCACTTTGGAGTAAGCTGTTTGGTGGAAGAATCAGTTTTGTATTGTGTGTTTCCTTGACTGGTGAAGCCTTCTGGATGGAAGGTGAAATGTTTCAGCAAAAAAAAGAAACTGTCCAGATGACCTGACTAAAATTTGTTGGATAAAGTAAAAGAGTTTCTGAATGACAAAGCTTTGTATATATTGTATAAAGTAATGATTGTTCCATAATTAATCTATTGCATTGAAGTTTGGGGAAAATCATGCAAAACAATTACAAACACTATTTTTATTTTACAAAAAAAAAAGAGCTATAAGAATTATTAGTAGGAAGTACTATGGTCACCCAACAAATATATTATTTCATCAACTGAAATTATTAAACTTTTATGATTTGTTTGAAAATTGTATTTTACAAATCATGTATAAAGCTCATAAAAAAGATTACCCCCAAATATTCAATTAAAATGTGTTAAAAAAGAGAGTCATTATAACCTTAAGGGAATGGAAATGTTTGTAAATCCTCCATTTAGAACTAGTCTGAAGGAGTGCTGCGTTGTAATTCAGGGATTAGGATTGTAGAATTGCCTTGATATCACCATAAAACAATTCTAAAACCATTTATATGTTTAAAAAGATGATTAAGTTAAAATTGTTGAGACCATGTGAAGGATATCTAATATTTTTTGTTTTCACTTTGGAGATTGTTCAATCCTACATTGTTGTTTGTTTGTAGTTATTTTATATATTTTTAAAAAAGGGGCAGATATTATCAGAATTTTCTTCTTTCTGCATCCCTTTCATTCAATTATTTATTTGTTTTTTCGTTTTGTTCTTTTGTTTCTGAATGAATAAATGAAATGATGGTGGACAAGTCAATATAAAGATAACAAGTAAAGAAATAAAGCATTTCGAGCACATACAATTAATAATATTTATCAGAACCTCTTGAATGTTAAAGAAAGCAGCAATGGTAAAAACATTCATTAGAGAATGTTACCGGGGGGTTATTTATCATTGGGGTTGAAAAAAATGAAGGACTGCAGTTCATCTTCCTGTCCTCCAGGAGGCGCTAAAATATTTCTGCTATATAGTTTATATCGTAAACATTTACTTATGTCGAGCCTACAAGTTTTATTTGACTCACAAAGTGCACGCGAAATAGCAAATAAATGGCTGTATAAATGTATTATAGTTATTTAAACGTCTTTGTGAAGAAGGTTTGATTATTATAGTTGTTTGTGATTCTCGGTTTTCCTATTGGACCAAAGTGTGTCACGTGCCCCGGAAGTAGCCAGGCGGCTGTCCTTTGTGAACATTCGTTTTATTTGATATCAACAAAACCACTTTAAAAAAAATACACTATCTGTAATTTTACATCGTTAGCGCTGAAAGTCAAAGAGAAATCTGTTGTTAAGGCACAAAATGTAACGTTTAGTTTCAAAACCGCGAGTGAAAAGGTGTGTGGGAAGAACGACACCGTGTCCTGTGCGAGCTGTGGGTTATCGCTTCTCGGCCTTTTGGCTAAGATCAAGTGTAGTATCTGTTCTTATCAGTTTAATATCTGATACGTCCCCTACCCGGGGACCATATATTAAATTGATTTTTGGATCAGGGAGATGGAATAGGGGCTTGCTCCGTCCACTCCACGCATCGACCTGGTATTGCAGTATCTCCAGGACCGGTGCACCCTCCTCTCAATGTGCAATATAACTATTGTCGATCATCGTCCATGTCGAGGATTACCAGCGACCTCTGCTGGAAAGCTGCAATTTTGCAGCTGAAATTATTTCTGACTTTAAGCTCAGAAGCAATTTCAAAAGTCATGCTTTTAGTTTAAAAGTTTCAGGTATGTAGCAACTTTATTATGAATTTACTTGAACTATTTGGTTATAAAGTTGTATCTAACACATGTTAGTTCCATCACGTGTTACATGAAGTGGAACAGAATTATGTACACAGGGTCTCAGTTACGTCCAAAAAAATTCTAAATATAAACTATAAAAAGTAATATACGCTTAACAAACGGTGCACTAAAAGATCTAAGATATACTAAACGTTAATAAAGTCAAACAATATGGTGTAACAACAGTAGCCCGAGCATGAGTCTGTAGTTAGCAGATGGGTATGAATGAATACAGCTGCATGACATAATCAGCAGCAGGGGATCAGCAGCATGGATAATCAGAGTCAGTCGTTCGCACCACATGTGGAATGTGGTGCGCACGAGATTATGTAGGGTCCCAGTTACATCCAAGAATAAAATATAAAAGAAAAAACGGTAATAAGATATGAACTAAGAAAAACATCAACTAAATATACACTAAGCACTAATAGCACAAAAACAATACGCCGAACAGCAGCACGAACATGAGTCTGTGTGAGCAGATGAGCACGAATGAACACATCAGCATGAAACAGATCAGCAGCAACATGATGTGATTCTGCACAGTGATTATTCTGGTTAGAGATTCATGAGTCTAACAGTGTCAGGGTAGAAGCTGTTCCTCAGTCTAGTGGTTCTACACTTAATGCTCCTCAACCTCCTGCCTGAGGGGAGCGGGGCAAAAAAGTGTGTGCTGGGTGAGTGGGGTCCTTCATGATGCAGGTGGCCCTCTTCCTGCATCTGGAGGTGTAGATGTCTGTGATGGTGTGGAGGCTGACTCCAACAGACTTCTGTGCAGCCTTCACCACTCTCTGCAAAGCTTTTCTTTCTGCAGCTGTGCAGCCTCCATGCCACACGTTGATGCTGGAGCACAGGATGCTCTCCACTGCACACCTGTAGAAGGAGGTGAGGACTGAGCTTCCCAGACCAGCTCGTCTCAGCCGCCTGAGGAAGTAGAGTCTCTGATGAGCTTTCTTGATCAGGCTGGTGGTGTTGTTGCTCCAGCTGAGGTTGGCGTTCATGTGAACACCCAAGTGCTTGTAGCTGGAGACCACTTGCACCGCAGATCGGGGGTGGGGGGTTGCGCCATCTGAAATCCACGACCATCTCCTTCATCTTCTTCACATTGATGTGAAGGTTAATCTGTTTGCACCAGCTCTCCAGGTGTTCCACCTCCTGCCTGTAGCTGGACTCATCGTTGTTTGTGATGCATCCCACCACCGCTGTGCCATCTGCAAACTTTACAATATTCTCATTAATTATATGTTCAAATAAAGATCAATGAATGTGCAGTTGCAGATGATGTCTAATCCAACCTGGCATAGTATTGGTGTGCTTGTGTTACCATGGCAGAGTTGGATACATACATTACCTTGTATACTGAAAATCAGTTTATTCTTAGCCACGCTCCCATAAACATGCTCACAGTTGAATAAAGTTCATAATGTTCATTCATTCCTTCATTCAACCTTTATTTATACAGGTTAGTCCCATTGAGCCTCGGGGACTCGTTTACAAGAGAGACCTGATTTTTACAAAGAGTGATGACAACAGTGGACAATCATAAAATAAAGCGTACTAATTGAGAAGAACAAAGGAAAGAAAATGGTAATAAAAAATATTTAAAAAAAACAGCTAGATTGTAAAGTGATGGAATAAAATATCTGCATAAACTTATAGACTGAAAATCTACTCTCGTACCCACATTCCCATAAACATGCTCAAAACTGCATAAAGTATATCACTGACATTCATTCAACCTTTGTTTAGACAGGTTAATCCCAATGAGCCTCGGAGACTTATTTAACATTCACACTGCATCGTGAAGGACCCCACTCACCCAGCGCGTACACTTTTTGCCCCCACTTCCCTCAGGCAGGAGGTTGAGGAGCATTAGGTGTAGAACCACTGAGGAACAGCTTCTACCCTGTTAGACTCACGAATCTCTAACCAGATAATAATCATTGTGAAATAATCACATCATGCTGCTGATCTGTTTCATGTTGCTGCTGATCTGTTTCATGTTGCTCTGCTCATTCGTACTCATCTGCTCACACAGACTCATGTTCGTGCTGCTGTTCGGCGTATTGTTTTTATACTACTAGTGCTTAGTGTATTTTTAGTTTAACATTTTTCTTAGTTCATATCTTAGATCTGTTTCTATTTTACATTTTATACATTTGTTGGATGTAACCGGGACCCTGTGTACACAATGACAAATAAAGAGCCTTGGATAATGTTCATTATTCATTTCATAATTAGCTATGATGAATCCTGGTTTTCAATCCGCAAAATGCCTTGTTAATCACTGGATGAAATAAAGATAAAAGAAAAAAATGGGCGGAAATCTGAACTTTGGCGCCAACTACATAACCAACAAGCAAAGGGCTTGTTTGGGTCACGTGGTGCTGACGTTGCAGCGTAGTCTCGTGTCTTTGGAGGACGCTCTTGATCACGCCCACAATGCCTCGCGCGTTTTTCTTTCCCCGCGAATGGCGACAGCACCGAGCAGTTAGATGCTAGGTAATGAGAGGAGTTCGTAAGTTTTGGAATATATTTTGAACTACAGCAAAAGAGGAAGCTAAAGCCAGCGACATGGCGAAGCAGAGCTCCATTTTCAAGTTCTTCACCAAGTCTCCGCCGCCTGTGTCCAAGCCGAAGCCGAGCCCCTCTCCGGCCGAGGCGGACCTGCCCTCCTCGGTGCACAGGTCCAACTCGTCTCCCAAGGAGGAAGCTAGGCAGACACAGCAACAGGAGTCAGCCAAAACCAGCAAGGTTAAACCGAAAAGTAACCCCAAGGCTGCGAGCAGCAAGGGCTTCAAGAAACTTTTTGGCGACATTAAGGCCCAGACGACTGAAGACAGGTTGGTGGGGGCCGTGTAATTGCTGGAGTTTTAGTTTGTGACTGTTAGCGTTGCAAACATTACGAGTTCTCTTTTTATGAAAGCTCGCAGCTTTGAATCTGCTACATATTACCACGCGATGCTCGTTTTCATAATTAGCATACTGTTGTTTAATAACTTTAAAAAAAGAAATAACAGCAATGCTTTAAAAGGGCATTGCTTTTGTCGACTTATTTGTTACAGATTAGCCCAAGGCATTACATTTCTTCATTAAAAAACAGCGTGTTGTCAGTAAAGTCGATGTTTTGTAGCAAGCTTTTACAATTCATTATAATGGACAGCTGTCTGCTTGGCAGTAACAGCTGTTTTTTTTACAGTCTTGGTATTAAAAACACATTTAAACATCTATTTATTGCTTCAATTCAATCAAAATTGCAACCATGCAGTTTGAGATTTTGCACTCTACAAGTCTGGACAGTCACAGGTTTTGAAGAACCACCAATAACATCATTCTAATAAGTTGCAGAATCATTTAATTTCTTCTGAGTTAATCATTTGTACCAATGAGCCAAAGTGTCAAGTGATCATATTAAATCAGTGCTGAACTGTACAGAAGATATAACGACTTAAGGTTTGGATGTTTTTGCCTCTCGCAGCATATAATGCCGTTTTCCTCTGTTTTTAGCAACTCCACATGTTTTAGTGCTGGTGTCCTTGTCTGGGCAAAACTGGAAGGACATCCCTGGTGGCCTTGCATGGTTGTCCCCCAGCCTCTGACCGGTCAGCAGATGAGGCGGAGTGGTCGGGATCAACGCGTTCATGTGCATTTTTTTGATGAACCTCCTACAAGAGGATGGGTTAGCACCAAATATATCAGAGAGTATCAAGGTTGGAGAAAGTTATTAGTTATAATCATAACGTTATAACAAATTCTGATGATTATTAGTCTGTTTTCCTGACATAGATCATGTTGTCTGGTCTGCAGGCTCTGACAGTAGTGATGTTAAACCTGGCGGGGTGTTCTTTAGTGGCAAACCTGTAATTCGCCATGCGATGGAGCTTGCTGATGGACTTATTTTTGACAGTCCTGAAAAAAGGTTGAAAATACCGCTTTGCATGGATCCATCTGATGAGGAAGAAGAAGCTGATGATGAAGAAATGGAGGTAATATGTTTTCTTTATCATCAGTAATAACACGGATTATGCTTTCTGACTGGGTCAATAATGGAAATTACACTTTGTAAAATCTTTATTTTACTTTTCAGCTTGACAAATCGTCCGTGATGGATGAAGAAATCAGTGATGTAGATGAAAAGAAAAATGAGGAAGTGAAACCATCTAAAGTAAGTCGACAATGTGCCCGCGCTTCAAAGGATAAGGCGAGCAAAGCCAAGCGGCGGCGCATTGTAGTGGCCTCTGACAGCGACGAATCGGATGAGGAGTTCAAACCAGAGCAAGCTGCATCGAGCAGTGAGGATGAGGACGAAGAGGGGGCGGTGAACAGTGGCGATGAGGCGAAAGCGAGCAGCCAAGAGTCAGAAGCTGATAGCCCAGTCAAGCCCCTGAAGCGGAAACGTCCTGCAGCAAAGTCTGTGAACGCAAAAGCAAAGAAACCCGCTGTCCAGTCTGCTACACCTGTACGAGCTGCAGCAGCAGTCGCAGCCGACACAAAGTCCCGTTTGTTAGCTTTCTCTGCTCCTGACGACTTCGAGAGCCAGACAGAGGGATCAGGGACCGCCGGAGGTGCAACGATTTGGGATCACGAGAAGCTGGAGTGGTTGCAGGATGGCAAGAGGAAAGACAGAAAACGGCGCAGACAGACGGATGACGACTACGATCCCTCCACCTTGTACGTCCCTGAAGACTTTCTGAACAGAGTCACTCCTGGTATGCGTCGGTGGTGGCAAATGAAATCTGAGATGCTTGATACTGTGATTTTCTACAAGGTAGGAAAGTTTTATGAGCTCTACCACATGGATGCTGTTGTTGGGGTTAATGAGCTGGCCCTGACTTTTATGAAGGGGACATGGGCGCACTCGGGCTTCCCAGAGATCGGCTTTGCACGTTTTTCAAACGTGCTGGTTATGAAAGGCTACAAGGTGGCCCGCGTAGAGCAGACGGAGACCCCAGAGATGATGGAAGCTCGCTGCAAGACCATGGCAAAACCCACAAAATTTGACCGTGTGGTGAAAAGAGAAGTGTGCCGGATTATCACGCGTGGGACTCAAACCTACAGCGTGCTGGACGGAGCTCCTTCAGAGAGTCAAAGCAAATTCCTCCTGAGTTTGAAAGAAAAGGCCGAAGATGAAAGCTCTGGTCGATACCGCACCTACGGCGTCTGCTTTGTGGACACTTCCGTGGGACGTTTCCACATCGGTCAGTTCTCAGATGATCGTCACTGCTCGCGCCTGCGCACTCTGATTTCACACTTTTCTCCTGCTGAGGTCCTTTTTGAAAAAGGTAACCCATCTGTTGAAACGCGGAAAATACTCAAGGCGTCTCTGTCCTCTGCTCTGCAGGAAGGACTTAATGCAGGTACACAGTTCTGGGATGCTCAGAAGACTCTTAAGAGCCTTTCAGAGGAGAACTATTTTCAAGAGGTCTCTGGAGAGGAGCAGGGCGCTGGGAACAGTCTTCTCCCTGCTCTTCTGAAAAAGATGGCCTCTGAGAGTGACTCGCTGTGCTTGACTCCTAAAGAAGGGTGTGAACTGGCGCTGTCGGCTTTCGGCGGATGCATATTTTACCTGAAGAAATGTCTCATAGACAAAGAGTTGCTTTCTATGGCCAATTTTGAGGAATATGTCCCTGTTGATGTTGAGATGGAGAAAGCTGCCGGACCCACGAGTTTTTTTGCTCAGACTCGTCAGCGCATGGTCCTGGATGGAGTGACTCTGGCGAACTTGGAAATCTTTCAGAATGGCTCAGGAGGAACAGACGGGACTCTGCTGGAGCGTTTGGACACTTGCTCTACCCCGTTTGGCAAGAGGCTCCTGAAGCAGTGGCTCTGCGCTCCGCTGTGTAACCCCACATCTATCAAGGACAGACTGGACGCGGTGGAGGACCTAATGGGAGCTCAGGCTCAAGCAACTGAAGTCTCGGACCTTCTGAAGAAGCTTCCAGACCTGGAGCGTCTACTGAGTAAAATCCACAGCATTGGGACTCCACTGAAGGGCCAGGACCACCCTGACAGCAGAGCAGTTCTCTACGAGGACGTCACTTACAGCAAACGCAAGATAACAGACTTCCTGTCTGCGTTGGAAGGTTTCAAAACTATGCAGGAGATCATTTCTGTCGTCGCTCCAGTTTCAGAGGAGTTTCGTTCCACGTTGCTCCTTCAGGTTGTCAGTCTGAAGACGGAAAAGAATGGCCTCTTTCCTGATCTCTCAGCAGAACTCAAGCGCTGGGAGACGGCTTTCGATCACCAGAAAGCCCGCTCTACTGGTGTCATAACCCCTAAAGCGGGGTTTGACCCCGAGTACGACCAGGCCCTCGCAGGAATCAAGAGCTGTGAGCGAGAGCTGCAGGATTACCTGGAGAGGCAGAAGAAGCGACTTGGCTGTAAGAGCATGGCCTTCTGGGGAACTGGGCGAAATCGCTTTCAGATGGAAGTTCCCGACAGCGTCTCGGAGAGGAACATCCCTGAGGAGTACGACGTGAAGTCTACAAAGAAAGGCTGCAAGCGTTACGTCACAAAGGAGTCCGAGCGTCTGTTCTCCGAGCTGCAGAGGTTTGAGGAGAAGAGGGACGCTGCTCTGAAGGACTGCATGAGGAGGCTCTTCTACAACTTTGACAAGAACTACAGAGACTGGAAGACGGGCGTGGAGTGCATGGCCGTGCTTGGTAAAATAACTATTACGAAATGCAAAGTTCTAATTTGTTTATGTAATTTATGTAGAGTATTTTTTTAAGCTTTTGAATGCAACGTTCTCAGTCATGGAGGACATGAAAAATCCTAAACGTTTTAGATCAAATCAACTCTTTAGCTTTCATTGTGCTTTGAATACCAGCATGAAAATGTACCAACATGCTTGAAAGATATAGCAACTAGAGAAATTGCATTTCCTGTGAAAATGCAGTGTGAATGCTTATTGCAGAAAACAGCTGAAATGAGCTAAAAGATAAATAACATGCTGAAATGTAGCTGAAATAGAAGACTAAGCCTACTTTAGCAGAAGAATGCCGAAAGAACACACATTTGCTGAATTAGTTTAAATAAGCAGAAATTATCACAAAAAATAGGAAATTAGCTAAAAAGAAAACATCTGAAAATGCAGAAAGAAGCTTAAATTACCAGGAGGAAGTGGAAAAAGTTGAAAGAAGCTCAAAAGATGTAGAATTAGCTGAAAATGCTCTAATTAACATAAAACAACTGAATAGTGGCTGAAATAGCAGAAAAAGCTAAAAATGAGCATAGCAAGCTGAAACTACCATAAAGAAGTTAATTAGGTTGAAAGTAGCAGGAATTACCAAAGAAAACTGAATTTATCTGAAAACAGTTGAAATTAGCTAAAAAAAAAAAAAGTAGCTGAAAAGGTAGAAGCTTAAATTAGCAGAAGAAAGCAGGAAGAACACGTTTGACCAGTCAGGCAGTAAGAAGCAGGAATTGGCACAAAATAGTGGAAATTATCTGAAAAAAGCTAAAATTAGTAAGAAACAAGGTGAAAAGTAGCTACAAATGCAGAAAGAAGCTGAATTTACAAGAAGGGAGTGGAGTGAGCTCATATTTGCTGAATTAGGCGGAAAAAAGTTGAAATGAGTGCAAAAATGTGCTATCAGCTGAAAAAGCTAAAATTAGCATTAAAACAGCTAAATAGTAGCTGAAATAGCAGAACAAGCTGAAATTATCAGAAAGAAGTTAAAAGAACAAAAATGTAGTTGGCAAAAATAATCTGAAAGGGTCCCAAAACAGCTGAAAGTAGCTGAAAAAAAGTTTAAATTTGCACAAAGAAGCTGAACCAGAACAAACCTGGAAAGGAGCAGCAAAAGGTTGTGAACAGATGTAAAGATTTGAAGGATGTAAAATGAGCTCAGTTCATTTTCTGAGAAACAAAAGTGGCAGAAAAGGCTAAATATTTCAAAAAGCTGAAGTTGCACCAATACCAAAAGTCATAGAATTGTTCTGAAAGAGCTGAACCTTTTGATTTATGATTTGTTGAAATAGTTTGAAAACGAGAGTCGCGCTGAAAAACGTAAGAAGAAAAATTGGTCACAATAGTGTGAATGCTTCATAAACATCACACTATTAAATAGTCCCAACAATTCTTGTGCATGGTTTATGCTGCGCATTGTTCTGTGTGCATAAAATAAATCACAGGTTCTTTGTTAAGAAGAGGATGATTTGTCTGCAAAACGTGTTTATCTTCCACTGAGACTTTCAACTAGTTTGCAGAAACAAAGCTACAAGTGAAACGTTTGTTTTTTCGTGGATCGTTTTTCCCTCCTAGATGTGCTGGTGGCTCTGTCACGCTACAGTCAAGGGGGAGACGGAGCGATGGCCAGGCCGCAGGTGGTGCTGCCGGAGGACGACAGCCAGGTGGTGCCCTTCATCAACCTCACTGGCTCCCGGCACCCGTGTGTCACAAAGACTTTTTTCGGTGACGACTTCATTCCCAACGACGTCTTCATCGGCTGCCCTGGAGGCAGTGGAAGTGAGGAGGTGGAAGGTTGCGCCTCGTGCGTTCTGGTCACGGGACCGAACATGGGCGGTAAATCAACCCTCATGCGACAAGTAAGGTTTTTATTTGACTTTATTCGTACGGTTTATTTGAACTCTGCTCATGTTGCTCTTCTTTCCCTCCAGTGTGGACTTGTGATCATACTGGCTCAGCTGGGATGTTATGTTCCTGCTGAGAGCCTCCGCTTCACGCCCGTCGACCGAGTCTTCACCCGGCTGGGAGCTTCAGATCGAATCATGGCTGGTAACATCAACACGTTCGCCGCACACGGGTTAATGATCTGAGCCGGCTCCTCGTGGGCTGAGTCTGTGTCCTTTTCCCCTCGTGTAGGAGAGAGCACCTTCTACGTGGAGCTGAGCGAGACCGCCTCCATCCTGCACCACGCCACGAAACATTCACTTGTGCTCCTCGATGAGTTGGGTAGGAGCTTAATGTTTCGTACTAAAACTGAACTCCACCGTTTTTGTTCCATTCAACCTGTATTTAGACGGGTAAATCCCATCATATAGTTAACGCAGTTTAACTGCTGTTGTTTTCACCGTGAACCGTTCGAAACGTTCCAGGGAGGGGCACCGCCACGTACGACGGCACAGCCATCGCCAGTGCTGTTGTGAAGGAGCTTGCTGAGAAAATCTGCTGTCGCACACTTTTCTCTACACATTATCACTCCCTGGTGGAGGACTACACCAACAATCCTGCTGTGCGTTTAGGACACATGGTAAGTTCAGTAATTCTAAATACCGCAGGGAAAACGACTCCTTTACACTCCAACAAACTTATTTTGTGCAGTTGCTTTTGCATTGTAATTGTAAGATATCTGCCAAACCTTGTGTAGCAGAAGTTGTTTTTTTGTGTGTGTGTGTAGATAAATTGTTGACCTGACATCCCAGTGGAGTTACACAGGGAAATTCTTTAGAGAAATAAAACCCAAATATATATTTGTTGTACAGCTGAGGGAGATACTGAGCTCAATACAAACAAAATTGATGCCTTTAAAACAAATTGGGAACAAACTGATCAAAACCTGTTAACAGGAGAACTGCAAATGATCCAGATTAATAATAAAAAGGTTAAATTAAAAAAAAAAATTAAATTGATCATGGCCTGGATGATTGAGAATCTTCAACATAGATCCAGATTAATACAGTCTTGTGGAATTAGTTTAAAAAAAAAAAAAGTCTCATTTTAGGCCTTTAAAGTCTTAAATGCGTCCAGATTTTCTATTTTTGATCTAAAAATACATTTACCGTAATTTCCGGACTATTGAGCTCACCCGAATAAGCCGCGTCCACTCAATAAATTTAAAAATTAAATTTGTACATATATAAGCCGTAGGTGTCCATGTTGTAACGGGAGATATTTACGCAAAGATTTTTTTTAAAACTTTTAATTAAATATGTGCCGGTAACACACAAATGCGTACAGTAAACGTTTTTTCTGAACAGCGCTTGTAGCAAGGCTGCTTCAAAATAAATAAATAAATACAGTAGCCTACCAGGAATCGCCTAGCTTAACGTGCAGCAGCTCTACTTCCTTCTTCGACAGCCAGATCGATATCCTTTAACTTGAAAGCTGCATCGTCTGCATTTGTTCGTGTGTTCATGGAGTGCAAAATAACTGACCTGAAGAATTTAACGAGAGTGCGTTTCATTTACGATCATTCGAAGTTTCATTGATCCACTGTGGCCTGTTCGGTAAATTCAATGGTCACATTTTATTTTTTACCTTTTATTTATACAGTTCGTCTCATTGAGTCATGAGGACCCGCCCCTCAAGAGAGACGCCTAGTGGGCAGCTATGTGAGCGCCCGGGTGTGATCAATGTTTTAGTGGCAGGAAGTTTGTTATCTTATCCAAAAAACATTGATACATTATCTTCAGCATTGTATAAACCACAGAGTTCAAAGTGTGTGAGAAAAGTAGCGGCTTATAGTCTGGTAATTACGGTAGTTACATCTTATTTTTGTACATTTATTCATTCTTAGCTTCTTCTATCAACTTTTATTTTTTTTTTTTATGTTGTCTGCATTCAGTTCACTTTATTTATATAGAACCAACGTCTCGGCGCTGTCCCACAACATTCACATAAATTATAAAATGCCAGTTGGTAAAAGTTGTGTAAGGAAGCCAGCAGATTGTGTCAAATCTCTGTCGCAACTTCCCATCCTGAGCAAGGCGACGGAGGAGAGGAAAACCTCTGAACAGAAAGAAACCTCCAGCAGGACTGGACTTTACTGTAAATGGAAGATAAATTTATTCTTAGAGAAATGTTACGTTTTTTTATTCATGCAGGTCTTATTATTGTTTTTAAGTCTTAACGAGCCCTTAATTTAACTTGCTGAAACTTGCACAATCCCTGAATTAGTTGAGTTTTGTTGCGTGCGAAAGCTACACGGAGGTGTTTTCCGTAGCAGAGCAAAGAAAGTGAAAGCGCTGAACTTACAGGATTATAGTTTTGAATTCAGCAGTTGGTGGCCACATCCAGATAACGACACAGCTGCATCCCCTGTACCAACTCTTCTAGCCACAACCTGCAACCTCCTGCTTTTTCTAAGCTCCTGCTACTGAAATCAAACGTTTTTAAATAATCCCTGAAAAGTCACTTTTCAAATACAGTATTTGTTCCAAGAGATCGTGTGCATTGCACGGGATCCATCAGCCTTGTGCACAATTATTTCCTCCCTTCCATCAAAGTAAAGTCAGGTCCTCTGGACGGCTTCTTTTTGTTGAAACGTTTCGTTTTTCCATCCAAAAGACTTCCATCAGTCCGAGGAGCCACAACAAACTCAGTCCCATAAGTAGCAAACTCGCACAGTGGGACAACCAGTTTGATGGTGATGGGATGGTTTCTGGAGGCCGCTCTCTCCACCGTCGTGGCTCCTCAGAAGTCTTTTGAAAGAAACATAAAACGTCTCAACAAAAAGAAACCTTCTAGATGACCTGACTTAACTTTGTTGGATTTTTTTAACCTGGATTATTCAATTAAAAAAATACTTTATTAATCCCAAAGGGCAGTTTGTAACTCATTATCCTTGTTTCATTAAGATATGTTCTGGATGCTGATGGCTGTAGGCAGGAAGGATCTCTTGTAAAGGTCCGCCCCACAGTGGATCAGAAGAAAATGGCCGCAGATGTTGTCTGATCCGTCCACCCATACTCGGCTGGCCTCTCAGTTCCCCTGGGCTGCGAACCACCCGAATGCCGGGCAGAACTGCTCCCAGAGCGATGGCCACTCCACCCAGCAGCCTCACGAGCTCCTCGTCGCTACAGACAGCTGCAGGTGCTGGGGGGCGATCGTGTCGTGAGCCGCGTTTCCTGCCAGTTCCAGGATCTCAGTCGTCAGGCACTCGAGCACAGCCGGCAGGGAGACGGGAATGCATCTATGGCGCCTCCTTTTCAACTCATTTGATATTTGGGGCTGTAGTTGAGATATCATTTTGAGCTTTTGAGATGTTAATCAGCTGCTCCCGGTTGTTAAAAAAATAAAAAAAAAAACGCCTTGTTATGGTTACGCATCAAAACAAATGTCCAAAAGTAAAAGTTTGAGTAAAAATCCTTCCAGCTGCACAGCATCCGATACCAGAGGAAACATTCATCCAATAAGTGTTTCACATCCAGAAAAACAGGAATTAAAGTTTCCAAAGTCAGTACCTCAGAATGACGGTAACAAAGCTACTCCACCCCGAGCACGACTGAGCACGAACCCGAGTACTGAGCGTATTCCCGCCCTTGTTTTGGTTTTCTACTCACTTTGACGGTACCAAGTTTGGCTTCTGTCGCTTTTAGGCCTGCATGGTGGAGAACGAGTGCGAGGATCCGAGTCAGGAGACGATCACGTTCCTCTACAAGTTCATCACCGGTGCTTGTCCAAAGAGCTACGGTTTCAACGCCGCGCGTCTCGCCAACCTGCCAGAGGAGGTGATCCAGTCCGGACACAGGAAGGCCAAAGAGTTTGAGAGGAGCACCATCAGCCTCAGACTATTCAAGTACGCGTTTGTGTCATAAACCAGAAAGCACGAGCTAACACGTCGTTAACGCTAAGGTTGACTCATTGTGTCTTCATGTCCTCTTACAGGAAACTCTGTCAGTTTGCTGAGGACTCTACTTTGGACAGTACACGCTTTACCTCACTGGTACAACTGCTCAACACGCTGTAACTGCTGCTGAATTTATTAGGCACCTGGGAGGGAAATAAAACACTACTGAAATGATCTAATAAAGTTTATTTTTTTTTTAAATGACAATGTTTCATCTAGGAAATTAAACCCCCCCCCTTTACTTTTCAACTCACACTAGCGCCTACATAACGGTTATTGAATACTTCACAATATATTAAGTCTAGGATGTTATGATACATGCATACATTTCAGTCTGTTTGAGAACCCACAATTACCAGTACACATGAACGGGGAGGGGAGCAACGAAGCCATTAAGCGCTGTTTAGATACTTGTCTCAGCTTCAGTAGAGTAAAAGCTGTTCAATTCTCCAGCAACATTGGCAAACAAAAAATAAATGAATTATGCTTTCACAAGATTTGTTACGTTGTAAATCAAAATCTGGCATCAGGAGAAAAAAACATCCGAAGACACCACGAAGCACACTTGTGCCTGATAAAGAAAACACTTAATTTTATGACGAGACCAGATGTAAACATAATTTAATTTAGGAGACAACCACTAAGACATCAGATGAGTAATTATACTCTCGACTCCAACAGCAATGACTTTATTTACAACTTGATAAAACAGGATGTGTTGTAAATTACGTCACGGGTTCAACTTGGAAAAAACGAAACAAAATGTAAGTTCATCACTTTATGACCAACTTGAGAAAATAAACAGTAATGCATAGAATATGTAAACTGGACTGTTATAGCATAATTGACACGTTCGTTATAAACATGAGCTATACAAGTCTTGTCAAAGCACATTTCAGCATCTTATTTTTCTGTATTGATAAAAATAAAAGTCAACATTGCTGGAGAAAATGTTTAGTGTTTTCCTCTTTTCTCTTTCACAGAAAGAAGTTAGATACTGCGACATGAGTATAATTACAGCAATTCTGGGGGGAAATAACAAAAAAAAAAAGACATTTCAATAAAATAAAAACATTCAAGTACAATAAGATTTTTGCATGAAAATACAAAACTACACAAAAAAGCATTAAAATCAAATCTCAACAGTCTTGAGGGGAAAAAATAAACAGAAAAAGCTGAAGTGCTGAGTCTTTTCTTTTTCCCCCCCGTACGTGTACGAGCACATCAGAAGCTCTGCGATGGAAGCATTGTTGTATTCAGAGCCTTTCTCCTCTGATGAAAACGGCGGCGCCTCCGCTGGATAAGTTTCCGTCCGTGCTGGACCTGTACATAACCTCAGTATCTTGTTCCGGCGCTTCTTTGAAGATGAGCTTCGGTGGTTTTTCTTTCGTCTCGGTCACTTAGGTGACCGACCCACACACAAACCCTGAGTCAAACGCTCTCCTGTTATATCCCACCACTGTCGTTTATTCTTTTCAAACGAGGGAATTTAAAAAAAAAAAAGGGGGAGGAACCAGTCTTTTTTTTATGTCTCCTTTTAGCATATCTATATCTCGTGTTTTTTTTTTTGTTTTAGTTTGAGTACAAGCTCTGCCAAAGTATTAGTATTTGAATTTGGATGTTCTCCTTTGCTGCACAACTTTTGAAGTGTTCACTGGTGCTAAAGCACTGGGACGTCTGGTCTGGAGCTCAGTTGTGCTGCAGTGTGTTGGACTCTATAGGAGGAGCAGAGTCGTACAGTGTGTCCGTGTCGTGCGTCGGCTCTCCAGCTAACGTGCATGGGTTGGACAGCGTCCCTGCGCCACAGTCACAGAAGAACCTGTAGGATGGAAAAAGTCAACCGTTTGATTAAAACGCAAAAGAAAAACTAGATTTTCAAAATCGTTAGGAGTGACTCGGCTACAACAGATTTTAGCAAAGTAGCAAAAAGAAACGGTCATGACTCAGTCCGTTTTGACAGATCTTCCATCAAACGGCCCAAGTACTAACAGATCGTACATGATCTTACAGGAGTGCTAACATCTTGCAAAATCATGAGATTGTGAACTATTAAAACAAAAATCCTCATTCAAAAATAATCGATCCAACATGCGAAGAATCTTATGGCAAAAAGACTTGCACGCTGCAGAACTTCACCTTTTGTTTAGAGTCAACGAGCTGAAGGTGAAGCACGCACATTTTTATATTTAATATCAAATGATCATTCAAATCATGTCCAGTCTTTGACCAAAATGTCAGCTCATTTCTAATTAGATAATCTCAAGTCTAGACGTTAAAGGCTGCAGACGACATGTATCCCTTCAAGGAATGCTAGGTCTTTTATTTTGCTTTAGTTTTTTCATAATATGGTGTTTACCATCTTTATACTGAAATGAACTGCGTCTACCAAAACTCCTGCAGATGAGGGCGACTGAAATAAGTTGTAAGTCAAAGAGAAGCTGCAGCTAAGATACTTTGAGTTTCTTCTTACTCATTTTGGAATGGACACAAACAAAAAGATCCAGCTGGCTGCTTCAAGCATGAAACCAACCTTCAGTTGCTTCTGGATTCATAGCTAGTAGAGCAAGTTAACGATTTGGGCAAAAGTAAAAACAATTAAAAAAATATTTATTTTGTCTTTTTCTTGGTTAGTAAATGTGGGTTGTAAGGGAGACACTGCAAATTATCCTGTACCAGTTTATCAAATGTGCCTTTACAGTATTTCCCTTGCTGCTTCGCGTTTGGACATTCGCAGACTCGCCCTTTCGCTTTTTTTTCAAAGTAAAATTGAACACGAAAAAAAATTGTGCACGACACGATTGTTAACTTTAATATAACTCGTGATTGGGACAGTATGGGATACTGTACAGTAAAAAGTTAACAAAAAAAATACTATAAATGTATAAATTAAAAATAAAATACTTTGGACGGGCGCCACCATTTTGTAGTTTTCTCTCAATGTACCCCGTTCATAGTGACTACATTTCCCAGAAGCCCTGTTTTTTCTACTGAAATACTAGAGGGGAAAGTTCTGATCTGATCGGAAAGAGTTTGGTACTTATTACAATGACTGTGGTACCGAGCAGATGCAGACAGTTGCACGGAACCCACCGAACCGGACCAGAACTGGAGCAAAACAAGACTTCCAGACTCATTGGTGAACCCGAGAGCTGCTAGCCGGCCCACAAGGACTTCAGAGCGGGGGACGTGCCGCCGTACGTCTGGCTTCTCTAAAGCCCACTACCCCGAGCCAGAGGTGACCAGAACCGGCAGGGTAGGTCTGCTGAAACGGAACCAAATCGGAGCGGAACCGAGCCGCTGCCGTTCTGCCAAGCTGGTGAGTAAAATATAGTAGCTACATAGAAGTGTTGTTAAAGTTAGTAGGTTTAAGAGTTTAGAGCACTGCAGGAGTGTGGGGTTTCTAAAGACGTGACTATAACGTTGCTACTTCGCAGATTTTCACTAAACGTACATGTGAAAGCAGACGCATAGACAAACATTGAACTACTGTTTAAATATTAAAAACCGGGCTGCTTTCAGAAATTCTTAAAACATCTGTAATTGTAACAGTTAAACGATACTAACCTGTCATGTCTGATGAACTCCACATCGTGTCCTTGGTGACACTTCTTGATGCAGTTCACACAAATGGCATTGCGGTCTGTTGTGTTACAAGTATGACACCTATATGAACACAAAACGTGTTGGTAAATTATCCTGCAGATCATTCTAGTCACAGTTTTCAGCTTCATTACCTGTAGAAGTCGTGCATGGGGTAGCTGGTGTAACTTGAAATCTTGTACAGGCACTGACCTCTGCTCACAGCCTTCTCGATGGCATCTTGATTGTTCAGTATTTTATTATCTGAAGACACGACGGACATTTTAATAAGAAAATGGCTTTTTCACAGAAAGAAATATTTGCCCATGAGAGTACTACCTTTCATTGTAACATTGACACCCGATGCGAGAAACAATCCCCCAAATCGATTGTTGAAGATTTGATTGCCTTCTAGAGTCGCTGTAGCATGGTTGGTGATCTCAATACCTTGTATTTTTTTTAAAAAAAAAGTTACAACTATTATCAAAGCTAACTTTGCCTTAATAAAATGGTTTTAAGTAAGAACTTGGAACAACCGGTAATAACTCGTGTGTGTGCAGGTGTTACCAACCTGCAGCGAAGCCATCGAATATCCGGTTCTTCCTCAGTACAGGGTGACTGTTGGTGCTGATGAGAACACCTGCTTGAGCATTTCTGAAGATGTCATTCTCTTCTAGCAAACCTGATGAAACAAAACAGAACTGTAGTTTCAGAAAATGTAAATTTAAAATGTAGCAAGTTTAGGAATGCGCAAAATATACAGTACACGGTAGAAACGATAGACGTTTAGTCTATGATAGAGATTGTCTTAGTAATGCTGTGTCATTAAAATCAGTTGTCAAATTTAATCATTACTTTTTTGAGTTGAACTGTGCGTAAGTGGTGTTATAGTATTTTCTTCGAGAGCTAAGTAGCGAAGCTACAAGCTAACTGTGGCTGGCTTGACGTAGTGTTGCCATATTCGGACGCATGCACAAAACGCTGTGTTCCATCGAAGGTTTTTTTTTTTTCCGTCGAAAGTTAAAGTAAGCGTTGGTCAGCTTTAGAGAAACCTGCTCTCTAATCTGTGAAAAGAACACTGTGCTGTGTGATTTTACAGCGAGACCCTCTGGTCAAAGCCACAGAGGAAATGAAAGGAGACGCCCACTAGAGGGTTGGAGGGTGAAGTGTTTCAGTGTAAAATGCTGCTCTGTTGCTGTTCATTTCTTAAGTGAGAAGACTGGAAACTGTTAAAGAGTTAACAACATATTCTTTTGTTTAAAACATATGGTTAAAACTACATTTGATAACTTTTGCACTGTTTTGCACTACAAGAAAGAAGCCTAATACTTGATTTGTTTATTATTTAAAAACTCTCTGGACCTAATAGTGGAATTTTCTTAAGAGATTATTTTGTGGTATAGCAGTTTTCAAAATAAATGATGGCAAAAGGACACCTTATGCTTTTTTTTCTGTTCCTATTGCAAGTTTTATACCAAAAACATATCGTGATATATATCGTTATCGTCACCCATCACAATACATATCGTGATATGGATTTTATGCCATATTGCACATCCCTAAGCACGTCATAAACAATGTGTTACAAATCAAACGATTCATGTCTGGATTTTAAGTCTATAAAGTATTTGCTTTCACAGAAATAAATGTGGCAGTTACCTCTTCCTCCGTTGAATATACAGATCCCACCATCTCTCCCATCGTGGATCTTGTTCCTCCTCAGGGTGGGGTTACTGTCTGTTTTGATCCACACGCCGGCCATGGCATTATCAAATATCTCGTTGTCCTCAATGAATCCTAAGCCTGAATAAAAACGTGTTGACATTTCCGTAATTAGTGAGAAGTACAATCAGTTTAAAGACAATTACCAAACAAAGATTTGGATTCTGTTTTAAAACCTCTTCCTTGCTACTCACCTGAGTTGTAAACCAAAATACCCCCGTTCTGACCCCCCCAGATCTTGTTCCGCCTGATCTTGGGATTGCTGCCAGTCCTATCAGACACATGAGGGGGAGGTGAGACACCGAGTCTGTACTTTAAATTGTAAATTTCAGGACATCTAAACATTTGAAACATCATTAGTATTTTTCCACAAACCTTATTTGAACTCCAGAATACATATGATTATAGATATCATTGTCCTCCAGCACACCATGGCCGTTATCATAAAAGTAGACCCCCACCTGTTTAATTAAACAGTAATAAATGTAGTCAACCTTGATATGACAACAATTAAAGACATGAATTAAAAGTGATGCAGTGATTCTGGTCCCTGGATTAACATTTATTTCTAACGAGCTTTAGCCTTGCCTGTTTCCCGCTGTGTATCCTGTTCCTCCTCAGTACCGGCGTACTCCCCGTCGTCACCCACACTCCTGCTAGTGTGTTGCTGTACACCTCGTTCTCCTCGATGACTCCTTGACCTTTTTCATGCTGAGAATGACACAAAAATCAAAGTATAAAAGAACTGTCTGAACGAGCAATATAAGAAGTTGAATAGGTTATCTTTTAAAACATTTACCACATATATGCCGCCATGTTGGCCATCGTGGATCTTGTTGTGCCTGACAATTGGGCAGCTGTTTGTCCTGATCTGGATTCCAGCCAGGGCGTTGCCGTAGATGTCGTTTCCTTCGATGAGGCCTCGACCATCACCAAAAATATAAACGCCACCTTGGTTGCCATTATAAATGGCATTGCCCCTGTTTAGACACAAAAAGATGCATTTAAGGACATCTTGGGGAAACTTTTTAAAAAACAAACCTGGAAAACGGGACTTTTTTTCAGTCTTACTGACCTTATTGTAGGATCACTATTTGAGGTGATCCACACCCCTGCAAAATTATTTGCATAAATCTTGTTATCAATGAACTGGCCGCGGCCCTTTTCGTGCACATAGATGCCCCCAGTCTGACCATGATGGATCTCACAATGAACCACTGTGGGATTGGCGTACGCTTTCACTTCGAAGCCAGCTATTCTGTTCCTATGGATGTTGCAGCTCTCGAAGTAACCCTGGAAACAAGCGGCGAAACACCAAATTACTGTAAACCCTGAGAACAGCTGCCCACTATTACTACAAAAATCATGTTCTTTCACATGAGCATACACGTAATCTTACCATGCCGTGATCAAACGTGAACACCCCTACGTCTCTGCCGTGGTGGATGTGATTTCGTCTGATAATTGGGTTGCCATGGTTCTTTACCCAGATACCAGCCAGAGCATTGTTTGAGATTTCATTGTCCTCATAAATTCCCTAAACCGTGAACAACGTTGAATTAATAAAAAGTATAATTTACTTTTTTTATATACTTAAAATTACACGAGACCTGTTATTTATGAACTAATTCAATGTACATTCATGTTTTTTTTTTAAAACACAAAACTATTAGTGTGAGGATTTAAAAGTTTAAATATATTTTTAGCTCCAGTGAAGATGACGGACCTACTAAGTTGTTTTTTTTAAATGCTCTCATGTTCATTTACTACAAGTAACAAGTGGGTTACCTGTGCATGGTCAGTGATGTAAAGACCAACGTTTTCACAGTCACTGATGTTGCAGTGCTTGATTGTGGGACAAGCACCCTGTCCGCTGACACAGACAGCTGACCCCACTGAAACAAGATGCGGGATACAGATTTGTTACAACAGGATTACCTGTATGCCAATATAAATCATTTTCAGCTTTTTTATTAACTATTACAAATTATATGTTCTTTTTTCTGTTATTTGCAATACTTTGTGAAAGACGGCACAACTTTTGTCCTTTTTTGGCCCATTAGTCTTATTTTAACGCCTCAAAAGTATTTTCAAACTCTGCCTTTTCCAACCTTCATGTCAAATGAAGGCTGGAAACTATTAAAAGTAGAACAAACAGGGGTGAAAATTACCTGTGCATGTGCTGCGTATGATGCAGTGGTCAATGATGGGGCTACAGTTGACCGTGATCTCCAAGCAGTGGTGTGCATTGTGGTGCTGAGCAGATTTATCATCAGGGTTGAACTACAGCAGAGACGACAATGATCAACACCTGCGATAGCACCAACTAAAACCATTCCTATCAACTAAAGTAATAAAAAAAAAAAAATAAGCACAATCCATGTAACCTACACACAGGAAACAGGTCTTCTTACCCTGATGGTCATGAATCCAACATAGGCATCTTCCGAGCCTTCCATGAACACAAAAGTAGAATCTCTGGTGTTTTCGATTATAACTTTCTCTGCAACTTTTCCAGGTGCTACAAAAACATGCAAAAGCTTTAGACTAAGCTGAACAAATTCAGGACAAAACGGCGAAAATGACTTGATGCACATTTACCAGCTCCGATCATTGTGATGGGTGATTCGATGTAGATCCATTCATCCGTGTAGATACCGGAGTGTACAAATATCAAGCCATCAAAGTGCGGCTCCTGACCACCTCCAAGAGCATCCTCAATGGTGTCATAGTACTGAAGAGAACACGCAAAGTAGAAGATTGGAGCAATAAAACAGAGAAATACCAACAAGTATATTTTTTAAAATGTATATATATATACTTACAAACATGTTATCTCTTCCTTTGTATCTGGCAGGATTGCTGTAGAAGTGCTCTGCAAAGCCTGGCTTCACATGGGCACCTTTATACTGTAAAATGTCAACAATAAAGAAATAATAGCCATAAAGACATTATTAATGACACCATGTAAATAATGTAACAAATAAAAACAGTATAAAATTTTAGGAAAGAATATTTAAAAAAATGTTTTCAGTTACATTGACAAACAAAAAACAGTTTTTTTTCCCACAACATTACAGCGACTTGAAAGTGACGGTAATAATTCACGCTTGGATCATTTTCTCTTCATGTGCAGTGAGTAGGGTGTCCTTTAATATCAAAGTCCTTGCAGCTTCAGTTTCTCAGTCATGTAAACATAACGCCACACACAGTGGCAGCGTATAACACATTGAAGATGTCTGGAAACACCTATACAGCAGGGGTGCCCAATACGTAGACAGTGATCTACCAGTCGATCGTGAAGGCAATTTCAGTAGATCGCACAGCGAAATAGACGTCAGACTTTTAAAAAAAATAAATAACTTTTTTTTTTAAATAGACGTCCATCTTTACTATGCTATTCATCACTTGATCCACATACAGGTTAACCAAGCTGAGACCGGCCTTTTCTGACACATAGGTCATCACGCATGTGCATTCAACCACACTAAAAACAAACGTGTTGACTCGTAATAGCCTCCAGTTTATTTCTTCTGATCTAAGTGTGTAAAATGAGTTGGGGAGCTGGACCAAGTAAGAAGCAAAAAACCTACCATTTCCATACGAAATGGGGGGAGGACTTTTTACGTTTGCCTCATCTGCAAGTGTACCGGAGTGTGTACCGCATTTTCAGACTATTCATAAATACTACAGCGCTGACTTCCTGCCAAAAATCGAGCTGAGAAAGAAAATGGTGAAGGAACTAAAATCCCAGTTATCTGTTATCAGTCATTTTCTTACAGCTGACCACAGCAGCGAAGCATCAGTCCAGGTGAGTCACTTTAATAATTGTTAAGCACAAGAAGTCTTTGCAAGACGGAGAGATGGTAAAAGAGTTATTCATTGAAGCCGCTGACTCGTTCAGAGACTTTAAAAACAAAACAGAAATATTATCTTCCATCAAAGCTCTCAGATATCAAGAAATACGGTTACAGTTAAAAGCAGCTGCTGTCGGGGCTGAATTTTCACTTTTGTTCTCAGGTTATTTTTCAAACATGAAGTTATTCTTGTTGTTTTCTGTCCCTTTGTGTGAAGAACAGAAGTTGTTGCTGGGTTTTGTTATTATTTTGTACACGGATAGTAAAAATAAATTGTCACTTTTTAAAAAAAAATCTAACTTTTGGGTTTTGTCATTCATGTTGCGTTCACAGCGAGCTGGGACTTATTCATTCAAGCTTTATTTATCCAGGTTAGTCTCGTTGAATCACAAGAACTCATTTACAACAGAGACCTGTTCTAGACGGACAACATATAAAGTACAGACAACAAAGAACTACAGTAAAATGCAATTAAAATAAAAGTAGTGCTATAAAATAATAAATCAAGGAGCCATAAAAAAACATGGTAAAATACTAAAAACAAGAATGTAAAACATAAAAAGCATACTTAATATGTTTATAAATAAGTATACGTTTTTTATTTTTATAGTAGGTAGATCACCTGCTGTACAGTATTCTCAATGTTTAAACTTACTGAGCTTGAACTTTGGGGGGTTTAGCTGCACTACGTTTTTGAGAAAGCCATAAGTAAATAATAGGAGGCAGGTCTATACAGCACTGTTGTCTATTCAACAATACTACTTTAAATTACCCAGAACAGGTGATGGAAAAACAAATTAATCCATCAATGCTGTGCGAATCTGCAGTTTAGAGCAGGCTTATTCTTATTACTGAATGCATGAACCATCTTATTGATGGAAAGCAGCACGTATGTGAAAGAAACTTTTATCACATTCTCCTATCTGCTCTCATTACTGATTGCCATCTTTGTGGCCTGTGGGGTCGACCTATGAGGTCAGCGTTCTCTAAAGTTCAAATAATAGGATGGTATTTGCAACTCGCTTTAGTGGTTCAGTAATCTGAAGCATGTTACACAAGTTTACCCCACATTCTTTATTAAATATTTTAATAGCACAAAATGTGTTTTTGTAATGAATTTGCTTCATTTAGTTCTAGATTTGGCCATGGGGCCGATAATAAAATGACTGCAGATAAAGAAGCTTTTCAAACTGTTTGACACGTTCATACCAGCTGTTGAAAACTCTCCTTCCACGGGTTTGGCTGCTCATATTCTTCTGGATTTATCTGGTAAAACTTTCCAGTCTCAGGGTGCATCATGGGCCGGGTGTACTCAAACACTTCCATGTACAGTCTCTTCCTGAAAATTGAAAGCACATCAACAGTTATACCCTTCTCATTGCGTTCGTGCCAAAATGCATAACGACGACAGAGGAGTGGATTAGGAAGGATTAACTGAAGCGTTTCTTGTTAATTTTTTTTTCTTCTAATTTAGACTTAGAAGGTAACTTTACAACACTTTACCGTATTATTCTACTCCATCATGACCATTGCATCAACATTTTTTAAATCCCAAAAAGAATGCAAAATTTAAAAACTAAAAAATGAGAAGGTAAATTTAATATCAAAGTACAACTTTGTACAACTTTTCATGTGTCTTCAGAGAAATACATGGTTTTAAACAATGGTGGGGTGGGGGGGCTGTCAGAATGGGGTAAATTATTTATTCCTATAACCAACAAGTCTCACCAGAGGATGGGGTCATTAGCCAGTTCACTAAAACGCTTGCACACACAAGCTGCACGGCACAAGTCCTGCTCCAGCAGATAGGAGAAAATCTTCAGCACCACTTCAGCTGGAAGCTTCTCCTGCAAATACTGTTCTGCTGGAGCTGCTGAGAGGACAACAAGGTGGAATTAAAACAGAATATTCTGACAGAATTCAATTGTTTATACAGCATCAGGATTAAGAAATATATTTACACCGCAACGTCAGGAGAAAAGTCTTATCTTTTATTTCAGAAGCTAAAACCAACTGTGGAACAGACCATTTTGTTCCTGTACGTAAAGTTTACCAGAAAACAACAAACATAAATACGCAATAAACAACTATTTTGCATTTTTTGGCTAAAGCAGCAATGAATGACAAAAACTCCAAAATCCACAAACGAGCATCATTTCATGATATATTCATATTTATGAGCTTTTCCTAAGTGGTCATCTCAAAATTCAGCTAACACTAAACCAAAACAAACTCCTGTAGTGACGGATGACTGAAAAACAGCATCTACTCAATTTAAAGCAACGACTCATGTTTTTAAACTGTTCAATAAAAATAACGCAATATGTATTTTGGTGATAACAAAAACTGCTCAGAAACAAAATTAAAAAAAAAATGAAACTAACACTTTATTTTGATTACGAAAATAAAGGAGCACATAATAAATAGACATTTTATAAAACACAAAGATGGCACTTGATAGCCAAAAGCCTCCCACAAGGTCTAATTACACTTCACAACCTGTCAGGGTGTATTAACAAAACAAATTATGCATTTCTGATTACCTGGCAAATCAGGACACTTTCCTGAAACTCTCGGTCGCTTAGGTCGGTGTCCAAAGTTCTCTGTCGTTGAAGTGGAAGCACCCTGAAGATTAGAAAAAGGGGGAAATAAATACCTTGAAAATATTTACCGTGTTCATTTGAATCTTTTAAACTTTTTTCCCTATCATCTTTAAATAATTTATTTGACCGTACCTCCATGTTTGTCTTTGTTGGACACACTGTTCTCTTGGGTAGAGACTTTCTTCTAAGTTGGTAGGGACTATTCTGAGCTCCAGGACCAGATTCTTCTGCAACCATATCTGCAGGGATGTCCTCATCTACAATTGGAGAATGAGATTATAAAATGTGATTAATAATTAGGCCAGTACAAATAACTTTTCAACATCAGCCAGAAGGGTAATTGGGATTCTGTATTTGTCTTGAGTGAAAGGTTACCACCAAAAAATAAATAAAGTAAAAAACTGTTGTTCTGTACCTGCTTATTATGAAACAAGCCAACCGCAAATCCCATCAAGAGGGAATTCAATCAGCAGAAAATACAGCCCCATTAACATCAATTCTCAGCTAAGTCATGTCTGTATGCCTACTCATCATGCTGAGTGGATAGAAACCCAAGGTATAAGATTTAAACGCTGTCGACTTTGGTCGCAAGTCTGATTTCTTTAACTGCTAAACTAGTAACCACTATAAACATTGTGTGCATCACATCTATTAAATGTGAACTGAATCTCCTACTTTATTGACCAACGCAAACGTTATTTTTCATATAAATTATATTCTCTTCACTTCATATCCAGAATTACTTTGGTATCTGATGATGCATCTCTTGTCCTCATCAATACATCATGTATTATCATTCTTTCTGTGTGTGTGCGAATAAACCGAATGTCAGATCTTACTGCAATGGGTCAATTAAAACACAGAAGGGAAAAGGAAATCTGATTGATTACCAATGGACTATGTATGCCAATTCGGTCTTCCTTGGATTATATTATTATCCATAGCTAAATATAAGCTTAGCTCACTATGTACAATTATCTGTTTCTTTGCTGATTAGATTGCAGTAATTCCGACATTCATTACTCTAGTCCAGAAGAAAAAAATAAAATAAAACGCAGAACTGGGTTAAAATTACAATTCCTGATCAGTGTCATTTTGAAAAACATTGAATTATTTCTATAATTCACGGCAACTACAAATATAGAGCGTTTACTTCGAAAAACCTGCTGCCAAATATGAGCTCATATTTCACTATTTGATGTCATACAGCTGCTGTCGGCATAGCTGCAGAAAAGAAACTCATGAAGATATATTTAGACTATAACTACAGACATTTACTGCATTTGCTTTTCAGTTTTGCAAAGGTTATGAAGACAGGGAGAGTTTATTTATTTTAGACCGGGGGCGAGGACGAGGTACAGCAGGACGCAGACAGCTAGCCAAGTATGCTAACAACAACTAACTAACTAGCCCCGGCTACAAAAAGTTAGCATGCTACGACTAGTGTCGAAAGCACTTAATGTCCCCTTCCCTGTCCGTGAATTTAGCAAGCGGCTGCCTAAACGTTGTTTGTTTCCGAGACGTATGTGGTTTTACCTGACAAAAACAACAAAAATGGCAGCGATATGAAGTCAGACAAGTAAAATAAAGGCCGTATCGGGGCATAAAATCAAGCAAAACAAAGCGCGGCCTAAATGCTAAGAAAAAAAAAACACTGAAGCCTCGGTCTTTCCTGAGTGCAGGGCGCCATTCGGCGCCGTTACCCCCTTCACTGTCTGACCGCAACAGCTAACTTCGCTATAGCGTAATGACAGCGTATCAACATAAATCACACAAAAAGCTGTCAAGTCGCGACACATGCATTCTGTTAAAAACAGATAACCTACTGTTTAACAAGCTGCTCGGTAAAGGTACAGTAATATTACCTCTTTCCTGGTGATTCCTCTCCGGCTGCACCGGGCGCGGCCTCGACACTCGCCTGGGTCTTCTGCTAACGTTACTTGCTCTGACGGAGTTCATTTGGGGTGTTGGTAATCTTGAGAAAATGTCGAAGCCTTCACAGCAGAAGAGGAGGCGACGTCGAGCACGCCGTTTATGTCTTTTTCTTCAGCATAACACGATCTGCCATCGTTCACCGCGGCTAAAGGGAAACGTACCGCCGTGTCTGTCGCTGCCGTTCCCCTGCACTGGCGTTACGTCTTCCACTGAACCAGGAGGAGCCATAACAGACAGGGACAGTCCGTCAGGGCCTCAGTCACATCACGTCACGTGACAGGACAGTGTGGCAGACCGTTGTAACATATAATCAATGCACTCTGATATATATATATATATATATATATATCATACAGGGGCGTCCCCAGTTGTCAAAATGTATTTTTTACGAGTCATATCTGAAATTAAGAATAACAAAATAGAATTCCCGCCTTTAAAAAGAACTGTTTCTGAGGTGGTGTTCCCCTACAGATTCATAAACTACCGTACCCATCACTGCACTGTACTCCTTGGTCAGTTGGTCATCATTATCTACACGTAGGCTCACACACTGGTTCATTTTAATCTATAAATCCCTCCTTGGTCTGCTGAGATATAAATCTCCTCCCACGTGTCACGTCGTCAGTGCAGTGACAACATGCGCTCTCAGGACATCATTACCTGCAGCGTTCCCTCAGTGCAGACTGAACTTGGCAAAAAGGCCTTTTCCTACTCAGCTCCTGCAACAAACAAATAAATAAAACAAACAATGCACAATTTTTTTTTCATTATTTAAAACAGCAATAAGTTGTAAAATAATGAAAAAGTGGCTTCTGTAACATGTGTCTCATGCATACATAATAAACTATAAACATACACAAAATTTATTATTACAGAATTAAACACAAACAACAGTTTTCATTGGTGCAACTAATTTTAACAGTCTAATAATGTTTTAATATTACTGTGTTGTGTAAATATGGCAGGTAAACCAGAACTATTATTGTATCTCTCAGTGCAAAATTTTACACAAAAAAAAGGACAGATTATCAATAATTCATCACACTTTGCACAGCATGTTAAGTCCTAAAGACGTTTAATTTACTAGCAACTCGTCAAGCCCATCTCAAGCCTAACAACAACACACTCAATGGCAGACAACACACATGAATACAGTCACACGCCAGGGAGACAGAGAAGTGGGTGAAGAATCTGTCCGACAGACAGACAGCAGCTCACCCAGCCGGAGACAGAGATCCTCGCCAGAGGATTGAACTTTGCAGTTGCACCAAGAAGAATTCCTCTGGTGGAGATGATCACAGCCACAGAATCAGCCATCCACAACAATAAAATGTCTGAATTTAATGCAGAACAGCTTATAAACAAAGTTTTAGCATGCATCAGCAATGCCAAACCATCACTTTCCATCATCAGAGGGGAGAGGGATGCACTCACCATTCTCAGCAAAGACCAGAACATCATCATCCTCACCCCTGACAAAGGTGATTTTGAACCAGAAAGACTATCGTGAGAAAGTTATGACACTCCTTAGTGACTTAGCCACTTATGAGACGCTGAAAAGAGATCCAGGAAGTGGTTACAAGAAGAAGTAGTTGGAGGGCCTGAAACATATGGAGCAGGACAAGACCATTGGTCATATTCTGTACCACGGACTCGTCACTTACAATGTTTCCAAATATCTGGCGCCTGTACTCATCCCTTTAGTTGGCAGCTCAGAACACCACATACAGAACACCATGGACTTTGTGGATAAGGTGAGGGATGTCATCATGGAGACTGATGAAACAATGGTCTCTTTTGATATCACATCACTCTTTATGTGCATTCCTGTTGATGATGCAGTAGAGGTGGTCAGTTTAAGATTAAAATCAGACACCACTCTGAGCAGCAGGACCACGCTTTCCACAGAACAACTGTGTCAACTCTTGAAACTGTGCCTGCAGTCAACCTACTTCACATATGGGGAGCAATATTATAGGCAGAAACATGGGTGTGCTATGGGGTCTCCAGTTTCTCCTATTGTTGCCAACCTGTACATGGAGGAGGTAGAAAAGAGAGCCTTGACGTCCTTTTCAGGGACACCACCAAGTCATTGGTTCAGGTATGTTGACGACACCTGGGTTAAAATCAAATCTCAGGAAGTCCAACATTTTATTGACCACATCAACTCTGTGGATAAATACATGAAGTTCACACGAGAAGATGTAAAAAATGGCAGGTTGGCTTTCTTGGACTGTGAGGTCTCAGTCTCTGATAGAGGACATTTGCAAACTGAGGTGTACCACAAACCCACCCACACAGACCAGTATTTGCAGTTTGACTCCCATCACCCTTTGGAGCACAAGTTAGGAGTCATCAGGACTCTGTACCACAGAGCAGACAGCGTCCCCACTAGCTCAGGAGCCAGGCAGAAGGCGAAATCCCACACAAGACAGGCTCTAGAGCAATGTGGATATCCTAACTGGGCCTTCCTGAAAGCAGAGAAGAAACCCAAACAGGACTCCAGTCAATTCAATTCAATTCAATTCAATTCAATTCAAAAATACTTTATTAATCCCAAAGGGAAATTATTTGTTGTTGTAACTCGTTATCCTTGTTTCATTAAGAGATGTTATAGATGCTGATGGCTGTAGGCAGGAAGAATCTCTTGTAAAGGCCCATCCCACAGTGGATCCTAAGAAACTGGCTGCAGATGCCGTCCGATCCGTCCACCCAGACTCGGCTGGCCTCTCGGTTCCCCCGGGCTGTAGGACCGCCTGAATGCCAGGCAGAACTCCTCCCAGAGCGATGGCCACTCCTCCCAGCAGTCTGCTGAGCTCCTCGTCACTGCGGACAGCCAACTGTAGGTGCCGAGGGACGATCCTGTCCTTCCGCTGTCATGAGCCGCGTTTCCTGCTAGTTCCAGGATCTCAGTGATCAGGCACTCGAGCACAGCTGGCAGGTAGATGAGAATGCGTCCACAGAGCTTCCTTCTCAACTCATTTGAGATTTGGGGCTGTAGTTGAAATATTATTTGATCTTTTGAGATGTTAATCAGCTGCTGTTGGTTGTAGAAAACTGCCTTGTTGCCATAGTTACGCATCATAACAAATGTCCAAAACTAAAAAAGTTTCAGTAAAAATCCTTTCAGCTGCACAGCATCTGATACCAGAGGAAACAAACATCCAAAAAATGTGATTTACATCCAGAAAAAGAGGAATTAAAGTTTCCAAAATCAAAATTTCAGAATGAAAGTGACAGAGCTGCTCCAACATGCAGTCACCTTGAGCGGCGCAATTTTAGAACATTCTAGTCAGCCATCAGGTGAAAAGGAGGAACCCAGACCCAGACCAGTGGTCATTCCATATGTTGCAGGAGTTTCAGAGAAACTGAGACATTTATTTTCTAAACATAACATCCCAGTGGTTTTTAAACCCCAAAATGCATTACGGCAAAGATTAGTTCATCCCAAAGATCCAGTCCCCCCGCACAAACAGAGTAATATTGTGTATGTTGTTCAGTGTCAGGAAGGTGATCAGTCTTACATCAGGGAAACTAAAGAGCCACTGGTCAAAAGGATGGCCCAGCACAGAAGAGCAACATCTGCAGGCCAGCGGTCACTCGTTCAGGGATAAAGTTATTCACATCCTTGATAGAGAGGAACGATGGTTTGAAAGAGGAGTGAAGGAGGCCATCTTTGTGAAGAGAAACCGTCCATCATTAAACAGGGGCGGTAGCCTCCGTGTCCAACTGTCCTCCCTCTTATAATGCTAATATTGCAAGTATCCCTCAAGCGCCCATAAATTCAACTCAGTTCAATTCAGTTTATTTATATAGTGCCAAATCAGAACATAAGTTGTCTCAGAGCACTTTACAAAAACATTCACATACATAAAAAAAGCCAATTAGTAAATTTATCCATCTGAGGAAGCCAGCAGATTGTGTTGAATCTTCACTTTGTCGCAGTCTCTCATCCTGAGCAAGCACAATGGCAACAGTGGAAAGGAAAAACTCCCTCATAACGGGAAGAAACCTCCAGCAGAACCAGGCTCAGGACATCTGCCGTTGTTGTTGTATTTTTCTACTGCAGCAAGTCAAAATACACTAAAATAGTAAATTACTTAAGCAGAAGAAAACAAGAAGAAGACATAAGATACTACTAAGATACTATAAGATATACGGAATGTGTTTGTTTTGGTTGTTTTGAGCAATTATGAGACTTGCATCTTGTAATTTCCTAATTGTCCACTAGATGTCGCCATTGAACCTTGCTCTGAGTCTTCATGCTGAATGAATGAAGTGAATCACGTGACACCCATATTGCTTTTTTTTGTGGCTTCCTGAATGATGCTTCACATTGAGCCAGTTTTTGTTAAGTGTTGCTAAAAATGCACTTTTGCATTATAAGCATCCAAAGTGTTGACTCTTGACAGTGAGCTCGATGTAAGCTTTGATTTCTATACTTACCCTCTGCTTCATGATAAAATGAGAACCGTGTCAGCCTGCTAAATACGCTGATAAATATTTACTTTCTGCTCAAGTTAAATCATTGTCCCGGCCAGTGATGTTACTGCATCTGTATTTAACCAGTGACCTATCGTTTCTGATTGTAGTTGTAGATGTACGTCTAATTATTACTTCCTGGGAGTTTCATGGACATCTGTCGAGTAGTTTCTGATATATTTTCTCACGCTACAGACATTTACATGCACACACACACACACACACACACAGAAGCAAAAGCAACCCTTTGCCTTTTGGTGTGATTATAATAAACAGAGGAGGTGGCTGCAGGGATCACCAACACCCCCACCCCTGCAGGCGAGTTCGCTCCCAATCACAACTGGCAACATGTGACCAAAACTTTTCACGTGCTGGTCAGGAAGGTAAACATCTCAGGTTACAACAACCTGCAGGATGGATGGCCGGTCGGTCAAACATGCGACATTTAACAACAGCCTGAACTCTTGGACCGACAATTAAACTTAGACTTTAGGACAAGACGGGATAAATCTTCAACAAACAAGACTGAGAGTCCTCCTGTCATTTATTAAGGCACTTGGGAGAGCAGACGTAGAGCAGCAAGCCCGTCTGTGACCCAATAGTTGATTGATCCATCCTTCGGTTTGTCTGTGTGCCTGCTGGGGTCAAAGGTGACTGACTTCATGAGAGGAGTCAGCTGAGGGTCTTGCGCTGGACGTTACATAAGAAAATAAAAAAAGAAAAGGAACAAAAAGCCTCTGTTGACACCATTAACAGTTTTTGGTGGTTTTGTTTGGCGAC